AATATTTGTGCAAGTTTACTTCCATTTGTGGTTATATTTTGTCTTACTCTTTTTGATGGTTCTTGTGTGAGCAGGATGAGCTGAAATTTGTGGACCGGCTACCGCCTGCTTCCCGGTCATGTAAAGAGTATGTAATTCAAATCTTTCAATTGGCACATGTGGAATGCAAGCAAGTTTTCATCTTTTTCTCTTTACTTCACGCTGAAGAAGTTGCCATCTTGCAGGGTCACTGATTTTGTGTTAGCCAATCCAGATCCTCTTTTACCAACGTAAGATGGCATTTATTTACTTACAACTGTTGTTTTATGTTAAAATCTAACGTTTTTATTTTAATTATATCTTAATCCCGTTAGAATCAAGAAAACCAGAAGATGTTCTCGTTTCTGGAAATGGATCTGGTATGCTCTTCTTATCATCTCTTTTATATAATCTGTTGCAACTCTCAAGCACAAATAAAAAAGCCAACCTTTAACAAAAGAAAATCTACTGATTGTGAAGTGTTAAACTGCAGTCACTATTTGGAATTTAGTTCTCATGGCTTCACTGTATAGCAATATTAAATTTAGGGTTGTATGTGAACAAGACTATTTGTGAACTACTCACGATCGAATCGGTAAATATTTGAACTTAGTTCCGCTTCTCTAGAGCAGAATCCAAGGTCGATAGCTCGAGTAACGAGTTAAGCCTGATTCAAGTACATAGACATGAGCTGCTCACATGCGTAGTCCAGCCATTCTACCATACATATATGTTTTCATATTATTTGTATACATTCACTACAAAACATATCTTAAATGTGTACTAACCTCTATTCTTATGTAGTTGGAGCAGTTTGTCTTTCACACATGTCAGTGCAAAACATACTTTTACCACTAATATATTTAATAATGTGTTAAAAAAATTATCATAATTGGATATTCTGATAATCTACCTTGAGACAAGACTAACAATGTTATATGTAATATATTAGTAAAGACTAAAGAGTATGGCCAAAGTAAGGCATCTGATGAGCATTAAAGTCAAAGCGTTCTGATTATAAAAGAATGGGGGGGAGGGAGGGGGGAATATACATGTGTAAATTTACTATTCAATATATTTTAATATGATGCTTCGTGTAAAGCATAATATGTGGTTGTATAAAATTAACATTTCATTTTTCCTATAAAAAATTTAAAAAAATTAAATAAAGCTTATTGGAGTGAGGCTCAATTACTTCTAAAGTTGTTATGACCCGGGTTCCGTTTTAAAAGGGACCAGACACTTACATGGATTGTGTCATCATTTTTCATAAGGGATCACACACCATGGTTATGAATAAGTTTGTTCTTGACACTTGGTTCCTAAAGATCAACGTAGGAGTATCCTGATATCCTTATATTGTACTACGTAGTTAATTAGTTGGAAATATTTCTAAGAAGAGGTGGTGAACTATAGTTCGATCAATCTTGATCTGAGCTCCACTTATACAAAACGTTTGGTATATTTGGTCTAGTTCGTGTATAGGAATTAGGTTTTTCCTTGGCAGCCTACCTTTATTAAGTGTAGGCTAGATTTGAAATAATATCAAAGTAATCCAACATGTGTATATAAAATAATATCAATTACATGACTAAGGTTTACAAATTATGGGGTGAACTGTCAAATCCAAGTCTCACCCGAAAAACTCGAACTTACGAGAACTTTAGAAACTAGAAGTACAAATTGTTGATGAACAATTCAGTTAAAGGGGTGTTTGGAATTGATTCTGCTTCCGCTTCTTTTTTTAAAGCAGAATCAGAATCAGAATCAGTTTTTCAGAAGCTCGTCTCCCCCAGCTTCTAAAAAACTGTTTCTATGAGCAATTTGGAGCACTCAGAAGTACTCCTGCACTTTCACCCAAACACTCCGATATCTGTTTTTGCTCCCTAATGGAACAAAAGTTTTAAGAAGTAGATCCAAACACTCCCTAAATGGGTTGTCATGTTTGAAAATTTTTCATCTACTTCATCATCCGTAAATAAAGTCCATAAGATTGGGCACAGATTTTGAGAATGTTAAAATTGTGTGGCTTAGATTTTGGTAATACATAGATAAATAATTTGAACTGCATATCTTTCGTCATTATGAAATGATTTATAATTTTGAGACATGCAGAATGCGTTGAAATTGTAGCGTTAGGAGTATCAAAAGTATAAACTAGAGTGTAATTTGGAAATTTCAGATTTGCTGGACCGAATAATGAAACAAACCTTATTTTTTCGGTTTAGTTTTTCGGCAATAAAGATAGTTCCAGAACGCTGTTAACGTTACGCTTTGGGGCATGGGCAAACGCCAACCCAACCCATGGCCACCCTAAATCCGATTCACTACTTTTTGTGTTATGCCATATGGTAAATTTCTCATTGGATTCTTTTGGTTTTTATTTTGAATATCTTGTAGTGGGGGGATGTCTTGTATCAGCATCTCATGGATATGTTGTTGCTGCTGTCCTCGTGCCAAAATGCCCTCAAGTTGCTGCTCCAAATGCAATCCAGGATGCCCCAAATGCGCATGCATCAGCTGTTCATGCAGCAACTGCTGTTCTTCATTGTCTTCATGTGCCACTTGCTCATCACCTAAATGTGCGGGGCAGCAGTGTTGCTCGTGCCCGGATTCTTCTCAATGTTGCTCGTGCCCGGATTCTTCTCAATGTTGCTCGTGCCCGGATTCTTCTCAATGCTGCCACAAAAAGTGTTGCTCTTGTTCATGCTCATCTTGCAGCGGTTGCTGTGTTACTCCAAAATGTCCTAAACCTTCTTTTTCTTCATGTTTTAACTGCTCATGCGGCTGCAAATGTAGTAGTAGTAGTAGTACTTGCTGTTGTCCTATTAGCTGTCCAAAGGTAAAATGTTGTAGCAGCTGTACAAATACTTCCTGCTGCTGCAACCCTTTGTACTTTTGTTGCTTCTAGTACCATAATTTCAAACATTATTAGGTATTATCTTTGTTGCTATATTGATGATTATCAAGATTCAAGAATAGTGAAAAACAAGTTTTAGTGATGGAAGTCATATGTACTACAAGAGTACAAGTGGAAGCCAAGGAGATTTTACCAAAAGTGACTTCAGAAGTATGTTCGTTTCTCCCAACCACGTCTTACTTGCCACTTTGGTAGTTTGGTTCAATTTTTGCCATGTCTGATCACTGATGTCTTGTAATGTTATCTTTGATAACACTAGAATCGGTACCCGTGCGTTGCACGGGATAAAGTTGTATAGATTATTACTCCATATAATATTGGTATATAAGTAAATTACAATTTTTTTTTGTAATGTTGCAAAAAATACTGATATTCGATTTTGAGAAGGTCTTTGTAGACAATAGGTTAAATTGTTCGGAAGAGTTTTTTATGCCAGTAAAGTACTATCTCTGTTCCGTTTAGAAGTTCCCATTGCAAAACAAAATGATTATTTAGACTGTAATTAAAGAAGGTAATTTGAGTATATTTTGAGAAATATAATTGATAGTCATATTACATAATGAGGTTAGTGATTGTAATGCGATTTAATAGATGTATCATTTTTAACAATTTAACTCTTAAACTGGATTTTAAGAAAAAAAAACTAAAATGTAAATATGAGACATCTAAAAATGAAATAATGAACATTTTACTATGAAACATTATTTATACATTTATGCATACTAAATATGCACTTTTGTACTACCTGTTTGACAAAAAATGTGAACGGCAAAGTTGAGATAAAAGTAGTGTTGCAATTGCTTCTGCTTTAAAAAATTCATAATAATAAAAGTTTGTAGTGTTTGAGAAAAAAATGATGTTGAAAAGTAAGAGCCCGTTTGGTAACACGAAAATCGGCTGTGTTGGCTGATTCTGCTGAAATTTATGAAGTTCTGGATGAAGTGGCTGTTTTGGCTGATTCTGCTGATTCAAGAAAAAAATATTTTAAAAATATATTTTATTAATAAAATAAATAAAAAAATATATGTAAAAATAGTTAAAATGATCATCTACAGTAACTTCAGCCAATATAGCCAGAAAAGTAACTTCAACCTTATTTTTTCTGATTATTACACAATTCGGCGTGTGAAAGTAAAAATTACGTGTTTGGTGAAAAAGTTGGCTGATAAGCCGAAAAAAGAGGTCTCCAAACGGGCTCTAAATATTGATAGTGTTTGATAAAATATACGGGATATGTTTTTTGTGCAATAGAAAAATTAAAAAGAAATTTCTAGGTTTTAGTTTTTAACTGTTTTATTTAACTTACCTTAGAAACACTCTTTTCGGCTGTTTGTAATCAAAATACGAAAATCACACTTTTTCCCCCTGCATACATACCCTAAAATCTCTAAAAATTGAAATAGTTTAGGAATCTAGAATGTAATAGTAGAAACCTCCAGAGGAGTAAGAAGAGTAATCACACCGAAATACTTCATACTTAGATGCACACACTACTCATCAACACCTAACTGAAGGCCAAACTTTAGATTAGGATCTGGGACCCGTTGTTTTCTTCAAATTGAGTTGGGAGTTGCATTAATAGAAACCTGTAGAGGAGTAAAAGGGATTGGAAGAAGGTTGGACGTGTAGATGCAGGCGGAAAGCAGTTGAGAGTGAAATCGGAATCCCTGGAGGTCGAAATTGGTGGCACCGAAGTAGAAGTTGAAAAGAAGGTATTTTGGGTATTTTAAAAAAATATGTTTAGATAAATTTCTTCTGATTCACTCTTTTTAATGATTCATTGATTTCATATTCTGCTTAGTTGTTCACATATGAGGACCCTAACGGTACTTGATATTTGGCCAGATTCTGAAAAAATGACATTAACTTAATACTTCATCTATCCAGAATAATCTAATATGTTAGTGGCGCCATTTGGCCAGATTCTGTGTTCGTGAAAATCACCAGTGTATTACTCAAATATATGAAGTTTCTGAAAAAGAAAGAGAAGTAAATGAAGGAATGTGCAGTGCATGTTTCCTTTTTCAAAATGAATGTAACTAATTAGAATTACAACTGCCAGGTAGAAGAAAGAGAGTGGAATTAGGTTCACGGGCTGAGGAATTCTCTTAGGCCAGGCTTCGAGGTATGTTTTTTTCCACACAATATCTCCATTGTTTTAGTTGCATCTTCTCCATAGTTGAAACCTGTAATAGAAACCAAAGTTGAGCTCTGATAAGAATTCAGAATATGTTAATCTTTATAATTGTGGTTAAAGTAGAAGTCACTCCAAAATGGATTGTTACTCTGAATCAGGGGAAAGTGTAGATGGTGTGCTGGACTCATTTTCTGTCATTATTATTTATCAATTTCAAAACACATGTGAGGTATAGTTGAATTTTAGTGAATTAGTTTTCGAACTTAAATTAGTTTGAGTTATTTGCAACATATGTCATAAAGCAATCGGTGAATTGTGATGCTTATTCTACCCATCTGTAATTCAAAGACTGGGAAGAATATGGTTAATTTTAAGTTTCATCTTGAAAATGTAAAGCATGTATATCTCATCTCAAATAACATTATTTATGTTCCGTTAGTTATATCTCGTTTAGATTTTACCGAAATGAGGAGCTATTCAACCATATATATGTGCAAATATAAAACATTATTGAAAGCAGATTAAGAAATGATGTGTACGTTAATATTATACCAAAAAGTACTTTATAATAACAACCATAAATTGAGAGTGTATAAAGTAGGTGGTGGACGACATACCTATGCTAAGTTTGTGAAAACTTCTCTATAAACCACATTCTTAGTGGTCTTCATTGTTCCACCTTCTTCGTCACAAATGAGAACTTTTAATCCCTCCCTTGATGTCACCCTCGACACGGCAACGTACAATTGTCCATGGGAAAAAACTGGTTTTGAAAGATAAAGCCCAACTTGTTTCAACGATTGTCCTTGACTTTTGTTTATCGTCATTGCAAAAGAAACAACCACGGGGAATTGGCGCCGCTGAAACTTAAAAGGAATTCGGCTATCAGATGGGATCAAAGATAGTCTAGGAATAAAAACCCTTTCCCCTAACCGAGTGCCAGTTATAACCTTCGCCTCCAAAACATGAGTACCCATTTGAGTAACAATTAAGCGCGTCCCATTGCATAAGCCATTAGATTGGTCTATATTCCTTATTAGCATAATTGGAACACCGACCTTGAGGCACAATTTATGATTTGGTATCCCCGAAGCATTAATGGTGTTAAGGAACTCTGGTGTATGCACATCATCGGCACTACCCAGAGTACCATTTTGAGAACACGGGCGATCAAAACTCAGATATGTTTTCATCTCTCCGGGCATCAGTGATATCATGTAATCATTTATAGTGTCAACCACATCATTCCTCGGTGCCAAAATAGCCCGATGCTGGAAAAATGTTGGATCACTCATATTTTCCAACAGGGAAGGATACGTGCTTTCAACAATAGAAGCAAGAGGGTCACCTGTAGTAGCAATAAGCATGTCATCCGGAATATCAACAACATCATCTCCATCAATGACATTGCCAATGGTTGCATTCCCAACTTTGAGCGTCCAATCAGAAAATTGCTGGATTGCATTGACATCACAATCCGCAGCACCACTTTGTAACCTCATATTTTTTGTCAATGTGAGAACCCGACAGAACTGCCAAAGATAAGAGGCATTAATTGTAGCTTGAACTACTTGTTGTCGTGTCGCCTTCGGTATGACTGGGAGTATTTGCCTAAAATCACCTCCGAAAACAACTACCTTTCCTCCAAATGGACGTTCCAAACTATCGCCTCGGCTAAATCTGAGAATGTCTCGGAATGTCCTATCAACCGCTTCAAAGCAATGCTTGTGGGCCATTGGAGCTTCATCCCATATGATGAGCTTTGATTTTATTATCAATTCTGCCAAATGACTGCCTTGCTTAATGTTACATGTAGAATCTTCATTGATGTCAAGAGGGATGGCAAATCTGGAATGAGCTGTCCGGCCACCTGGGATAAGCAAGGCAGCTATTGCACTGGATGCCACTGTCAATACTATTTCACCTTTAGATCTTAAAAATGCAGATATAGCCCTCCAAATGAAGGTTTTTCCTGTTCCACCATAACCATAAAGGAAAAACAAACCCCCGTTATCATCCTTGATACATTCAATAATTGTGTCGTATATGCTTCTCTGTTCAGAAGTCATTGTGGACATCAACTGAATGTGCTCTGCTGCTAATTTTGTCCGGTCATAATTCAATTCATCCAGTAATAGCCTATTTTCAGATTCAGAAATGATTGATGTGTCTGGTTGAGGCATTGTCGGAAAATCACTCAAGCTCTTTCCATTTCTACGCAACAATTTATCAATCTCGGCAAGAGTTAATTTTCGTAATTCATCTTCTGACAAAATCAAATCTGTTTCACGAAAATTAAAAGTGACAAAGGGTTACTTTCAAAATAAGAGTTGTATAGTTTTTAGTATTTCACATGTGTATAATTTTTAGTATTTGACATCGTTATGTGTTAGTACATATGAATATGGGTCAAACAAATCAATAAAAATCAGGGAAAATTGAAAATAATAATCTCAACTATTTCCAGTCCGTCGTTATTAATCTCAATAATCGATTATTCCTGGGTGGTCCTAACTATACTGATTGTTTTCCAAAAACAGTCCCTAACCGGTTATAACCTGGTACAGCATGTCACTTTTAAATGTGAATTATGTGTGAGTTTTAAATAATTCTAACTATAGTTGATCTTTTTCTATTAATCCCAACCATCAACTCTCAGTTTTTGGAAGATGTAAATATATATTTTATAAATTTCGAAACTAAATATGTTTAAAGTTTTATAAACAACTACAAAAATCATACAAATGTACCGAAGTTAAATAAAAAAATTTTAGTCATTTTTCGGTTTATTTTCACTAAATTTTTATTTATTCCTTTTTTCCAATTTGTTTTCCAAGTTGTGTTACCAATTTATGATTTTGTATTATTTTACTATATTCAAATTTACATTATGTGTTTTCTAAAATTAAATAATGATTAAAATATTATTTGTTTTTATATGTTATTTTAATTTTAAAAACCTTAATTTTATATTGTTTCATTTTAGTATTTGTAGTTTGTTTCTATTTCGTTTCTTTTATATTATTATATTCTAGGGAAAATGGAAACTAATAATTCAACCTTTTAGCGATCTTCTTTCAATAATCCAACCTTTTGGTTATTCATGAATAATCCAACCTTTGCAACTCATCTTCATTCAATGGTCCCCGACCGGTTGATGATCTGCTATTCCAAGCTATTTTTCTTATCTTTGTAAATCATTACTCCCTCCGTCCCTCTAACTTTGTCCCATTTTACCTTTTTCGTCCGTCCCATTAAGTGTGTCTCATACCATATTTGGCAATATTTGGGTGGTTACAATTCATTCTTACTTTATTCACACTTTATCAATTCAACACCAACCACACAATTCCACTTTTTCTTAAAATTTGTGCCACACTCCTTTGTCCCAAACATTGTGGGACGGAGGGAGTATATCATAAATCTCATCTTTCACAAAGATAATATGTTGCAAAGATAAGAAAATAACTAAGAATAGTAGGTCATTAACCGATCAGGGACCAGTGAATGAAGATGAGGTGCAAAAGTTGGATTATTCATGAATAATCAAAAGGTGGGATTATTAAAAGAAGATCGCTAAAAGGTTGGATTATTAGTTTCCATTTTCCCTATATTCTATAAATCATAATTTATGTTTTGTCATTTAATTCTAGTGACTTGGGGTATAGTTTTTGGAGGGTTTGACTATTTTTAAGGATTTGTTTTTTTAATATTATAATTTTAAGTGATGTAATGGAAAATTTCAACTATTTTGGTAGAAAAAGTGTGTATTTTCGGTAAACATTTTTCTGTAGGCATTTCAAGCTATATATTCACATTTTACATTGGTAGAAATTAGAAATACTAAAATGAAATAAATATAAAGTTTAGATTAAGCTAGAATAAAGATCTAAATAGTAATTTTTTAATCACAATTTAGTGTTTGAAATAGAAAATGAAAAGGTAAATTGAATGCAAGGAAAATAATACAAAATCATAAAGTGGTAACACAACTGTGAAAAAAATGGAAAAGGGAAAATGAATTTTTATTGAAAATAAATTAAAATTGACAATTTTTAAATATTTAATAGGTACATTTGTAGAATATTCGTAATTAATTTTTCATGCTTAAAAATATTTAGTTTGGAAATTTGTAAAAATGTTTGTATATCTTTCAAAAATTGATAGTTGATAGTTAGGATTAACTAATAAAGGTCAACTATAATTGAGATTATTTAAAGTTTACACATAGCTGACATATAAAAATGACCTGCTATGCCAGGTTGTAACTGGTTGTAGATTATTTTTGGGAAATGGTCCCTATATTCTGGACAACCCAAGAATTATTAGTAGTTGAGATTATTACCGGCAGACCAACATTAATTGGTTTAGTATTATCAATTATTCCTAAAAATAAATACCTGGAAACTGAAATAGCAGCCTCTGTCTGTATTGGATGTCATCGCTCAAGTGTTTCCATGTTTTTTCCCAAACCAACTCAGGCCTTCCTAATTGGCTAGACAACAACAACACGACTAAAAGCCTTCTTAGGAAATGTGGTGTACCCCAGCGACTTGCCTCTGTAATACCATCGATGTATTCTTTGTCATCATCTAAGAGTCCGAAGGCATAACATGCATCTTTAAATGTTGGATAAATGATATCATTGATGGTTCTGATCTCATCGAATGACCTTGGTCCCTTGACATAGTTTAACAGAATCCGCAAATAATACAACTCCCCACTTCCAGGGGGGATGAAATGCAACCTGCCAACAGATTGTCCCCTTTTTCTAGGGCAGTATTCACGTGTTTTTTGTTTCCAAACAAATGCAGAAGGAAATTGGGCATAAGTTAAGTTTCTTGCTTCAGGATACTTTTCATTTGCGTCCATCCATGCAAGAAACTTGGTACTTTTTGTATCATGTGTATGCAAAATCTCCTCAAGTGAATCCTCATCATCAAATAAAACTTGTTGTTCTCCGGGTAAATGAAAGGGCAATCTTTCCACAGAAGGTTCCCTGTGACTGATGTTAAATGCAAAAAGTCTCCATCCAGCCTCACATGATGATAGATACCTGCAATCATAATAGTTTTTTATCTCATCCACACAGTGTGATGATACCTCGTGATCACCACCGTAGAAGCTTGCACTAACCCGATCTTGACCCTTGTTGACATATTTGAACAGATATTTGATGGACCGAGATTGGTTACACCACTCAACATTGATATGGGCATTGTATCTAAGAAGTAGATACCGGTTGTAGGGCACAACAAATCTATTATCAATCACATATTTACCCTTTTTTATAACTCTGCCGTCTTCTCTTCGTTGATACACTGGGTACCCATCATCATCAATGATTGTCGTTTGGACAAACTTTTTGGGAAAGTACCTGTTACATTTTCCATTCTGCATGCATGGGGATTTTCTATTTTGTACCCCACATGGACCATGAATCATGAGTGATGACACAATTTTAAATAAATCAGGATCACTCTCCGGGTCTGGCAGCTCAGCACAAATTATTTTGTCAATATCACGTGGATTGGGATATCTAAATTGTGGGTGCAAGAAAAGCAAAATATGTGCATGGGGTAGTCCCCTCTTCTGGAATTCAATTGTATAGACCACTGCACATGAAAAATATGGATCACTTAGTTAGGTCTTGAAAAATACAGACCTGAGTCAAAGAATAAGTAATATTGGACTAAAGTGATGGTGTATTGTGGTCAGCATGTGCTTGAAATGCGTAATAATAATAATGATAATGATGATGATGTTTTAGATTATGATATTATTGAAGAATGAATCCTTTAAAATGTATTATGATCAAATGTACGTACTTGCCCTGATCGGTCCAAAGACGTTGCCCCCCTTAATATCCCTAATTAATTCATCAAGCTTGATCTTGAACACTCTACAAATTAGGTCAGGCCTATCTTCAGATTTTAATCCTTGTGCATTCAAGGCTCTACGCAGTTCAGGCCATTTTTGGTTGCAGGTAAACGTAATAAACAAATCAGGATAACCTACGGCGGCACATATTGCCATAGCATCTTGATAGTTTTGAATCATATACCGTGCACCGCCTGTAAATGATGATGGCAACACAATCCGTTTGCCAACCGCTGCAGAGTCGGTGTCACCCCTCAGTATAGCCTCTTTAATACCCTTGTACATATCCGCTCTCACTTCCTTTTGACGAGTTCTGTAATAATACAATCGAGATGACTCTATTGTGCTGTAGACGTCAACCAATAATTGCTGAAATAGACGCCTTGAGAACAGTATCAACGTTTGTTCTTTTGTTCGGTTCTGGATTCTATAAGCATAGAACTCTCTCATTGAAACAGTTTGTCTCTTTTTAGATTTTCCATTTTGAGACTCATTGAGTGGGATGTCCTCTGTATATCCTTGCTCTCCCCTCGGAAATAATAAAGGGTATTGTAATGGGAGATACGCAGAGTTCAAAACAGAAATACGCTTCAAAGTATTTGACTGTGTTTCTACAATTATATCTCTCTCAGCACTACTTGAGTCAAAGTCTCCTACAATAAGGGCAGCTACTTCAGAGGCTGTTGGAAGACTATATCGTCTATCATTGTGTCCTCTTTTTCCTATAATCCTCAACTTTAGAGAAGAAAACTCATTTTGTTGAACCCTATCACGGACCATGCGATATGCTTGAACATAAGGATTGCACTCATCAAGCATTGTTTTCAGGTCTGCAACAATAGATTCTTCGACTAAAGATGGTTCTTTTCCCATCCTAAGCAATGAACAAAAGTGTAAGTAGATTTTTCATAACAGAATTAGTGAGTAATATAATATTTAATGATTTTACCCGACTGCACACATCCTGTTAGCAACTTCATTGTTGGTATCGTGTATGTATAACTGGGCGAACTTGGGCTGATCTCCTGGTAAGGGTAGCAAACTCCCTATTCTGTGATAGTTTTCACCATTCATGATAAAAATCGGCGGTCCACCACCATTATTAATAGAGGAGTCAATTTTTGCCCCCAAAGATGTGAAAGAAAACATCATATTGAATGATCGGATGTTTTCCAAGAAATATTTACTCCGTTTGTCATTGTTGCGATACAAATCTATGAGAAGTTGAGGTGGCGGTGTGAGGTCAACAATTTTTATCTTTCCTTGCATACAACATAAGGAGAACTTTGGTTTTTTAGCTTTCCACCCCTTTTCTACTCTTTCTGAATACCACATGAGAGCATTGCAAAACTCACACTCCCAAATTGGGTCTCCAATATCAGAATATCCTAAGAAAATGTTAACAGAAATGAGTAGAAGAAGGTCATGTCCAAATATTTGTACTGTCAATTGTAATGAAATAAAATTAGTATACCCTCATATGTAAGCAAGGTATCATCAGTTAACATCGGATCATCCTCATCATGACATTCTCTATTATTATCTTGATCTGATGCATTCCCTACGAAAAAAAGTGTCATTTTTGAATGAATTATAAAGCAAACATGTAGCAATAGGTAGAAAGTTAAAGATCATCAAGTATTGGTGTTCATTAAGTGATACAATTTAGTCTTAATTTTTTTACCAATGGTGGTATTGGATTCATCTTGGACCATATTGACATGATGTGATTGAGTGACACATTCTGCTTCATTAAGCATCACGACGTCATTGCATGTCGCATTCGCTGTGTATGGAAAGTATATATTAACACCTATAAATTTGTTATTGCAATTTCTCCAAATTTTTGTACACATGAATCTAGTTATTTACCTGGAATAAGAGCATCATAATTATAGTTAACATTAACAGTTTGGGAGTTTTGAGGATCCACATTCTCGTTCAATTGTTGTTCTTCTATATAGAAAATCATGATGCTCATTTTAGGAAAATATCTTAATGAGAAAAAGGCCAAAGAAATAAAGTGTATTGAGTAGAATTCATATTACCGGCCCATTGGTGACTGGAAGTGTTTGTGGCGCATTCATGGATTCTTGACGTTGATGTCAAGGGGCTGTGATTTGTGATGTTACCCATGCTTAAGATGAACCTTCCAGGTCCAAGCTTTCTTGACTTTGTAGGTGATCTTGTCACTTTAGCATGACATCTGTCCTCTCGTACATCTAGTGAGCCATGGATATAATTCATTGAAGGTTAGGTTGATCTTTTTTAGTTGACTTGCTTCTTCAATATACTAACATGAAACAAAAACGTTCCAATGTCCAATATCATATACCGTTACTAATATCATGTAAGGGACTCCTGAAGAAATTATGTATAGTCTGTCCGGAAGAAACTATAGAACTTGATCTTACTGCATCACTGCCATATTGCAAACCTAAATGACACAATTGACTGTTATTCCCTATCTAATGAAAGATGTATTGGATAATTTTTTCTGTAAAAGTGATTACCTTTTTTAAAAACAGTTGATGTGTATGTGTGGTTCTGAAAGTTAGCAACAGATGATGATTCACCATGTGATGGTAAATTGGGCAGCAAGAACGCTGCAGTGCTATGTTTCCTTATTTTGGCAGTAGTCGCTACATCTTCATTTGATTTTTCATGTGCATCATAAATCCTTTTTTGTGAAAATCGTTTTGAACCGGATTCTGCAATTCAAATGAAATAAACAATGTATAAATGGTGTATGTTGTGTGTCATAAGTGCGTCATAATGCCTCATTACTTCACAATCACCAAAAGTATACCATTTCTAGTAGTAGAAACCGGAAAGGGTTGATCCTGTGTGTGATCTGCACTATGCTGAGAGGTAATTTGCGTCATACTTACTCAGATGAACTTTCCTGCTGTTAGTTTTGTTTTTTTGTTAGAATTTGTCATTTTAGATGAACACCTGCAACGCATTAGACGACTTTGTCAAATGAAATTTACATGCAATGTGAATGGGTTTTAATTTTAACAACAATCTTGCATGTGCATAATAATTGGGTAGAAAACGTATTGAACATTGTTAGCGGAATTGGCGTACATTAAGTGGTGAGGAAAAATTTTGGATTACTATTTACTTATTTAAGACCATAATAGTTATGGTATTCATATATGATCACTTTGCTACTTAAAAACACATGAAACAGTAATTTAAATCTGTCGTAGTATTGTGTTAATTCCAGGTGTTGTTTTATGCACAATCTAATAGTCCAGTGATTAAAAAATATGAATAGGTGATATTTATATTCTTTCCCCGAAGACAGTAAATTAGTATAGCAGATCCCCCCTCCCCTTTTGTTCAAAGCAACTAAAATGTATGAAATCAATTTCAAACGTTTATCTAAAAACTGCTATGAACCTGTGCAATTAAATTGGTAACTCTGACTCCTCTATAGTGTACCTGAATCAGACGTATCAATTATAATAGTTCGTATATTGCAAGCAGAGATTAAAAAATGCTAACCTGGACCGGAGAGGAAGTATATTTAAACATGAATCTTTTGTGGAACTTGAACACCATCATTGCAGCAGAGTTTAACAACTACTAAACTTGTAACATTTAGAATAGCATATAAAAAACTTATATATAGTAGTTTGTGGGCTGTTGTCTGTGGAAAGGGGTGAATAAACTTGAAGTTTGAGAAAAGTGTTTAACCCTCCCGTATATAGATGGTCTTTATTGAAACACAATATACGTATTAGAATTAGTGGTGTCACTCAATCAATGTGGCAGGACAAATTTGTGGAGTAATTTCTTCTTAGTAGGATTTGTAACTGATAACAGGGATAACTCCTCTTTTATGAATTGAAGTGAGCATTTAATTCCTTCTTTGGACATACCATATTAGTAAAATTGTGTTTTTATTTTGTTTTAGTCCTAATAATTTTGTGAATACTGCTTGGATGTTGTTGTTGTTAGTCCTAAAACACTTTACGAATCATTTGAAATAATTTCGAGAAGTAATTTAAAAAAAAATCAATTTCGAGAAGTAATATATATACACACACACACACACATTCATTTTTATTCCATCATGTTTTGAGCGTAAATCTATATGTCTGACTCATCTTTATTGAATTTGAATCAGACAATTCTACTTCATTGCAAGCGGACTTAAAAACATATGCTGACTTGGCCGGGTGCAAATTATGGCAATATAAGTTTATTCCCGAACTACAACACCAAATTGTTGGAGAGCTCAGTAAGTACTAAACTTGTTACATTTGGAATAGCATGGAGAAAAGGTATATATAACAGCCTATGACTTATTAATATGAGACAAAATCAAACCTCTGTTTTATATAGATGTGTTCATATTGAAATTGATATTAAAACACCAAATACGAATAAGAATTATTATTAATTGTACTACTCAATGAGTATGGCAAGAGTAATTTGTCGAGTAATTTGCTATTTGTATCATTTATATCTGACCAAAACCTATGCATTAATTGTTTGGCTTAATTATGTGCTGGATTTACTGAATATATGAATAAAATCTGCTAAAATTACTTGATGCAAATCTTGTCTTTTAATGTTACTAACAAAATTAAATGTATTAAGTCTTTTTTTTATCAAACCCAGGAAATGAAGTTTGAAGAATACAATGGTTTTTATTTTATTGGTTTATTTGTTTATATGCATTTCCGTTTTGGGTGCACCAAATGGGTTATTATAAGTAGATTTATTACCTCAACTGGATTAGAAGGCAAAAACTTTGAATGTATTGTAAATATTTTTTCTCAGCAGTATTTCTATTTAGTCTTGAATTTTGGGTATCAAAATAGCTATATCTTTGAAAATAAAAAGCATTCGTTATTATCTTTGAGTTTGAATAGTGCATACCTTAATATCAATATCAATCAATATTTTATAAATAATGCATGCAGGCTAATAAAAGGTCATTATGAAAATAACTAAATTCTTTATTCATTAGCCGTTGAAATGGAAATATAAAACAAAAACAAACTTGGGAGCAATATTTGAAGATATATGGATGATTCAAAAACCGAATCACTAAGAATGGGAAAACAAAAAACTGCAATATTTTAAGATATGAAATTGCATGTAAAAGAAATGTATCAAATTCATTTTAAGTTCATGAATCCACTCAATCCATTGGCTCCTGTTTGACTTGTGCAATCCTCTTTAGCTTGCTGGTAGATGTCTGAGACTCATAATCTTCACTCTGATTTTCATTCTCTGCTCCATCCCTGATTCTTTTTCCTGTGGCTTTGGTGGACGGAGTATGTTCATTATCACCAATCTCTTTATCCTGTGAAATAAACATTTAGGAAATATTTCAATACACCATTTGCACCATTATACATATATGAGAGATTTTAGTTGATAAAAATGTACTTACACTCAAACTGTTATCCACTTCTATCACACCAAAATTCTTATTAGAGTCAACCTCTTCTGTTTGCTGAAAAGATATTGATCAAGTTTAAATGTCATGTCATTGAATCCATGAAAGGAATATGGTTTCAGTGGTTGGAATGAACTTGCAGAATAATGGACAAACATACATTGATGGATTCTTGTCCCTTTGCTAGTGACGAAGTACATGAGTCATCAATACACTCTCCAGAAACCTAACGAAAAATAGTTGTTGATCTTAACATGCACATTGATATTAATTTTTCACTCAATCTGATATAAATATAATAGTTGTTAAGAATAGTCACCTTAAGAGAGTGAAACCTCCGAAACTCCTCAAGCTTGACTTCATCATTATACAGACAACTAATTGTGTAGTTCCCCCAGCCGTGATCAATGTTCATACTGGTAACTTCAATCTTGAACAATAAAGTTTGATCAAGTAGCGCGTCAAATTCAGGAGGATGATAATCAGAAACATTCTCCTAAAACAAAAAAAACAGAGTTAGAATCAAATCATACGACCACAAAGTAAACACTACATAAAAGAGTGACCTCATTGATGGATTCAACCAATTCCTTAGCAGATCTTCCGATGAACTTGGAGACGACATTATCAAACGCCACCAATGTACATGATCCGGTGTGGTCAATAACATTAAGGTTCACCCTAAATCTGGTAAAAATGTGATGGAGAAATTATTTATACGAAGTGGAAATAGTAGATCAATAAAATCTATATTTGTAATGGCTAACATCACTTGGCTTGTAAAATTATGACATCACAAATTAGTTAATCTTTTTTTAAAAGTATTAGTACCAAAAAAATAGCAGCGTAATAATGGCATGTGAAAAAAGTTATACTGACCTGGGAACTGCAAGAACCTGCTTCTTGCAATTAACACCTTCACAATAAAATTTTTCCCCGTTTGGAACAACTTTTTTCCGGCATTTATAGCATGCTTTATAAAACCAACCGCCAAGAGTATCAACTTCAATTACTTTTGCAAGCACAAAACAAAAGCACTTCTAGTATTGCACCACAATTCCTTAAGTTAGTTAATCAATATATCCTCACACTAATACAAAGATGGGTATGAGAAATTAACCTTAGAAACTTCCATCAAGTCCGCTATAGTGACCACTTTTGTTTTTATCAAGTCGTCACTGAAAGAAACAGTAGTCTGACCAGATATGCTCCCTATTTGAACTATCTCACAATCTGTATCCTTAAGCCTTGTATATGAATACATATGAAATGAATCAGCTATAAGATAAATAACACAATTTAGTATGTCTCAATTATAGGTAGTTTATGGCTGCATCATTACTTACTTGACCTTGTAGTCATCAACAACTGACAGTTTAGAATTTAGATATAACTTTGTCCCGTGATATGCATTTGTTAAACCGATCGTTCCTATTCAAAGAATATGACATGCATTTTATTATTTAGTGTACATATGAAGTTTATTTTTGTAATAAATAAATCAATTTTTTACCATCCCATGGCTTCGTTTGGCCGCCTTGCAAAATCACAACAATTGGTCCAGAATGTTTTTCGATGTATACACATTGATACATTCGTACTGCCAAGTCTTCCCATACGGTGCATGCAATACGATTGTCCCTAATTAGGGGCACAAAAATTATATTAATGAGTTTGATCAATACCATCACAAAACATGTCGTTAATGAGAAATCATGTTTCCGTATATTATCAATTACTCGAGATCTTGTAGCTCAATCTCCATTAATTTTTTCATCTTCCCTTCTTTGCCTGCTACTTCCTTTATTGGCTTCTTTCCCACAACATGGCCAATAACATCTACAAAAAATTGTAAAAATAAGTTTGTTAAGTATAGTTGAAGTTTGTTAAATAAGAACTGTTTCATTTGGTGCGGGTGATCAGGATGATATGAATTGAACTCACCGATGTATGTACCATCGTCTCTTCCATTCAAAATGTCACCAATTGGCATGAAATCAAAATGATGCATGGGTATTTTTGTTGTAGATATCTCCTCACACTTTGTGCTGGTCATAAAGTTTAATCTGTATTTATGTGTGGTTGTCCTTCTAAATTTGGGATCGTTTATACCAACCATCACATTCTCAAAAGTGTATGCAAACTCATCCTGGAGCAACTTTGCAAACTTTGGAGCAAGGTTTTGTTTGATGGTTGCATGTATCTTCACACCCTGTATTGTCATTGAGTAAAATCATACATGTCATTATTTTATCATTACCTTAATATATGAAAGAAGTTGTGAATAACATAAATTTAAGTATAGGAATCCACATGTTTACCTGCTCATCTACTATGACCATTTCAATAGATCCGAGTTGACCTGTGTTCTTGTCAGGCACTCTCCACAAACGGATGATGCGTGCTTCGATCTTCCAGTCAGTGTAGCCCGGCTTGAGTTCACTCAATAATACCATCTTTGGAGCCATGGGATGTTGAGTGAATATTATTGGGTAGGCGTGAACTCTCAGTAATGAATATGTCTATATATATATAATTGATAATTGATACGAAGTAATTGATAATTGATAATTGATTGATAGACAAATCTGCAATCAGCCAGTACCTCTTACTAAGAATAAGATTTCAAATTGGAGAACATTCATTTTAATACATCAATAATGAATAACGTATTGCCAGCTTCCTCAAACTTAATGTGCATTGTGAATTAGTATATTTTTGTTAAATCAATTTTAAGGTGGACGAATTGAAATATTAGCACTATCTATAGTAATATAGCATGTGATTTTTTTGTTTGAAATAATAGCACGTGATTTAGTGTGTATGTTTTGAATTGTTGATTTTATTATATTATTACTGAGTTATTATTGCCACGTAGAGAATACTAACAAATATGGTTTCAGTATATTATTATTGGATATACCAAATTAAAAAATATATGTTTAATTTACATTTTGTACAGAGCTATTTAATTTAGGATGTTTTTATTTGGACTGAAAATTTATGTTCTGGCTTGTCCTATTTGGTTTGGTTTGATCTAGTAAATGTCTGGCCACTATGTATTTTATAACTATCCAAGGCTGGTTTGATTTGGTTTGGTCTGATACTGAAAAAAGTTCAAAAAACATTCCTACACAATCATGTGTAATTACCAATTTTTAACAGAGTCTATCACCATATACTCGGTATAATTTAATTATTACTATATATTATTATACTTTTACTCTTTCCAATAATATCACCATATACTCGGTATATTATAATATTATAATATTATAATTACACTCACTATTACCATAAATAACAATTATTACTATATATTATTATACTTTTACTCTTTCCATTACTACAGTTGTATCTTGTATGGTAACTTTTAATTTGACATGTACTAACGTAACATACGTGTAATGGATTCTTATTCTTTGTGCAACGGATAATCATTGGTTTCCTTCCTTGTATTAGTATTAAACTGTCGGTCATGTCGGTCATTTGTAGCAGCTGTACAAATACTTCCTGCTGCTGCAACCCTTTGTACTTTTGTTGCTTCTAGTACCATAATTTCAAACATTATTAGGTATTATCTTTGTTGCTATATTGATGATTATCAAGATTCAAGAATAGTGAAAAACAAGTTTTAGTGATGGAAGTCATATGTACTACAAGAGTACAAGTGGAAGCCAAGGAGATTTTACCAAAAGTGACTTCAGAAGTATGTTCGTTTCTCCCAACCACGTCTTACTTGCCACTTTGGTAGTTTGGTTCAATTTTTGCCATGTCTGATCACTGATGTCTTGTAATGTTATCTTTGATAACATCTTCAATGGGAGGGTTTACCATAATAAGGTCCATTTTATATGGATGGATAAAGTAGGTGCCTATTTTTATTTAAGAGAACTATTAAATAAGTCCTTGTCTGCCCCCCTCTACTATACTAAAAAAGTCAATTAAGTTTTCGTACTACTAAATCATTCAATTAAATTCGCCAACTTATAAAAAAATGCTAAAATCTCACTTTTAGCTGATAAATTACTGGTTACCAATTCAAAATGCATATTTAGCATTCACCTACTTTCTTTTTCCTTTTTATTTTTCTGACTTTTCCTCTCCCCGTCTTTGTCCAAACTTCTTCTCCCAATCTTCGAACTTGCATGCTCTAGGTTTCTTCTTTGTTTTTCTTTTACATTTTGTTGTTTTTCTCTTTTGATTCGTATGTAGTATTATATAATTAACTCTTGCTCTCCTCCCCCATCTTCCCAATAGGGCGACAACAACGTAAGGTTAGAGAACACCTTACAAATTTATTATATGAAAACTAAAACTACAAGGTAAGGGGACAAGAACAAAAACATACCGATTTAAGGGCATAATTGGAAACACTCAAAGCTTTTCCATTAAAGCTTTGAAACAAATATTGTGGGCCTAGTGTAGCTTTAAAGGCCTTGTTTATTATTTGGTTGTTAGCTGATTCTGTTAGCAATTTTGACCGGCTAATTGATTTAGCAATTTTGATCGGCTGATTGATTTAGTTGATTGTTAAAAAGTGTTTGATAAAATTAACTGTTTATAAATAGTTGTATCTCAATACAGTTGTATATAAGAGTATAATTGCTATGCAATCAGTGGCAAAGCCAGAGGTTTGTGTGGGGGGGAGGTATCGAAGACTTAAAATTCTAAAGTGCTTGTTCAAAATATAATAAGAACAACAATAGAGTAATAAGTTAGCATAAACTTATAGTTCATTACATACTACTTGAACCATTTCTGCAACTTGGGCAAATCAATCCGACGAGTTTTCATATTTTGAAAATGTTGCATAATAGTTTCATTATCAATTGCTTATAAATATCTCTTTCAATGTAGCATACTAAGGGGGTGTTTGCAAATGCTTTTGCTATAAAAAGCACTTTTTAGAGGGATTTAGGAAAAGTGATTAATCGTAAAAGTTAGTAGAATTTGACAAAAAAGTTGATTTTGAAAAGTAAAAGTTGATAGTCTTTAGTAAAATATGTGATTTTTGTGTAATAGAAAAAGTAAAAAAGTAGATTCTAGATTTTAACTTTTAAGTGTTTAATTTAAGCAAAAGTTGACATATGAAAACATACCCCAAGCAATTCGTAAGATAGCCCAAGCAATTCGTAAGATAGACTTCTCCCGTTTTATTGCGCAAATCTTTCTTAATAATATTCATTGTTGAGAAGACTCTTTCAACAGTGGTTGTTTTAAATGAGACGATAGAACAATTGAAAAGATTTGTGAATTGTAAGTTCAACCATCTTCTTAAACACTTCACCAATACTTTGCAACGTGAAAAATGCTTCATTTCCTCTCGTCTAATATATCCAAGAAGCGGGTGCATACAATATATTGGGGGTGTTTGGAACTGATTCTGTTTCTGCTTCTTTTTTAAAGCAGAAGCAGAATCAGAATCAGTTTTCAGAAGCTGGTACCTACCAGCTTCTAAAAAAACTGATTCTGAGAGTATATTAGAGCACCGGAAGTGCTTCTGGAATTTCACCCAAACACTTCAGCTTCTGCTTCTGCTCCCTGAAGAAGCAGAATCAATTTTGAGAATCAGATCCAAACACCCCATTATATGCAATATATTAGCCGAAGCGGGAGGCACTTACCCCTCATGCCCCCAAGCTCCTCCATTGTATGCAATTCTCATGTTTTATATGACATGCTTTAAATTATACGTAGTATGTTATTTCATCACAATATGACTTAACTTGCTTTATTTCATGTATAATAAATTAATGTATAATGAAAAGAAAAATAAAATATTGAAACAATGGAAAAAAGAAACATATAGAAAAGAAAATGAAAATAAAAGAAATTGAAACAGCTACATGCGGCGTTTACAAAAATGGCTTATTGGATGAACAATCTATTTGAAAAATGTTTTACCAAACACTAATTTTAGTTGGTCAACCAGTCAAATCATCTCAAATTGATCACACCATCAAAAAATGGCTAATACGCCATTTACCAAACATACCATGTAGAACCGTGCATCAAAAGAAACATATTTAGAACTTGG